AAACCTGCATCAGAAGAACGAATTACTGTAGGACAAAACATGGCACGTCATTTTAAGAGGCATGAGTACTTCAACTATAAAACGTAGGTTTACGCCAGACCGCGTCTTGTCGTAACTGGCTTCGCGATGTCTCGCGGCCTGTTCCTCCAATCCGCTCCTGGCGGCGTGGCGTACCTACCTTGGCCTGCGGCGCTAGCCTGCCTTCGGCAGGCATTGGCTTGTCCATCGTCGGTTACTTTTTACGTGTTGCATGCTGTGGGGCTCCGCCCCCCAGACCCCCCTTACTTCTAGATAGAGTTGTTTCATCTACAGATAACACGATCTTGACCCTTGTCACTTTTTAACTTGTCGACGCTGGGGGGCGGAGCCCCCCAGACCCCCTCTCTTCAAGACAGAGGTGATCTACCTGCAGAAAACTCGATTTTTCGCCGTTTTTAGGTGTTTTTCGGCTATAAAAACTAAACCAGTTGAGCTAGGATAGTGAAACTTCGCGTGTGCCGAGCCAAGAACATACCTAATAAGCCTGCAAAATCTCAGCCAGATCGGCCGAGCCGTTCAGGAGGAGTAGTGTACAAACACAGACACACACACAGACAGACACACAAAACTTTTCAACCGCACTGGAGTAACGGGCTTCGCTATCGCTCAGCCAACTAGACAAAACCTTTTTGGCATAATCACCTTTCTCGGTAGAAGTTTTTGCTTCCGTTTCTTGTATTTTCGGGGTTCAGAGCCCGTAACAGACTCCTGAAAAGAAATTGGATAAAAGAGTAACAACATGATAAAAACCAGGAATCACAAAAGTACTTACAAGGTAGGTTTACGCCAGACCGCGTCTTGTCGTAACAGGCTTCGCGATGTCTCGCGGCCTGTTCTTTCAATCCGCGCCTGGCGTACCTACCTTGGCCTGCGGCGATAGCCTGCCTTCGGCAGGCATTGGCTTGTCCATCATCGGTTACTTTTTGCTTGTTGCATACTGGGACCCCCCTTCATTGGCTGAGCGATAGCGAAGCCTGTTACTCCAGTGGGGTTAAAAAATTTTTCCTGTCTGTCTGTCTGTGTGTGTGTGTGTGTGTACACTACTCCTCCTGAACGGCTCGGCCGATCTGGCTGAGATTTTGCAGGCTTATTAGGTATGTCCTTGGCTCGGCACACGCGAAATTTCACCATCCTAGCTCGACTGGTTTGGTTTTTAAAGCCGAAAAACACTAGAAAAACGGCGAAAAATCGAGTTTTCTGTAGGCAAATCGCCTCTGTCTTGAAGAAAGGGGGGTCTGGGGGGCGGAGCCCCCCAGCCAGGACAAGTGAAAAAGCTACAAGGGTCAAGATCGCGTTATCTGCAGATGAAGCAACTCCATCTAGAATAAAGGGGGGTCTGGGGGGCGGAGCCCCCCAGCATGCAACAAGTTAGGAAAATCGACGATGGAGAAGCCATTGCCTGCCGAAGGCTGGCTAGCGCCGCAGGCCAAGGTAGGTACGCCAGGCGCGGATTGGAGAAACAGGCAGCGAGACATCGCGAAGCCTGTTACGACAAGACGCGGTCTGGCGTAAACCTACCTTGTTCTAGATAGAGTTGCTTTATCTACAGACAAGGTAGGTTTACGCCAGACCACGTCTAGTCGTAACAGGCTTCGCGATGTCTCGCGGCCTGTTCCTCCAATCCGCGCCTGGCGTACCTACCTTGGCCTGCGGCGCTAGCCTGCCTTCGGCAGGCATTGGCTTGTCCATCGTCGGTTACTTGTTGCATGCTGGCCCCCCAGACCCCCTTAATTCTAGATAGAGTTGCTTCATCTACAGACAACACGATCTTGACCCTTGTCGCTTTTTAACTTGTCAGGGCTGGGGGGCTCCGCCCCCCACACTCTGCCAAAAATGTCCTGTAAATGCCGTTAATTTATTACCAGTTTTCACTGTAGGTCAATTCACAGCGTTTACTGAGAACTGCTCACGGGATTCACTGTGATCTTGTTCGCGGTGTTCACTGTGATCTGGTACCCAGTAAACACTGTGAGTTTGACGCCGCTGAGCACCGCAGGACTGCAAATCAGGCTCCAATTCACGGCGTTTACTGTGGCCAGATCACAGTGAACACTGTAACCGAGATCACAGTGAACGCCGTGAACTAGTTCACAGCAAACGCCGTGAATTGCATAACAGCAAACATTGGTAATAAATTAACGGCGTTGACAGGACATTTTTTGTAGAGTGCAGACCCCCCTTTCTACAAGACAGAGGCGATCTACCTGCAGAAAACTCGATTTTTCGCCGTTTTTAGGTGTTTTTCGGCTATTAAAACTGAACCAGTTGAGCTTGGATAGTGAAATTTCGCGTGTGCCGAGCCAAGAACATACCTAATAAGCCTGCAAAATCTCAGCCAGATCGGCCGAGCCGTTGAGGAGGAGTAGTGTACACAGACACACACACAGACAGACAGACAGACAAAACTTTTCAACCGCACTGGAGTAACGGGCTTCGCTATCGCTCAGCCAATAACACGATCTTGACCCTTGTAACTTTTTAACTTGTGGGGGCTGGAGGCTCCGCCTCCCAGACCCCCCTTTCCTCAAAACAGAAGTGATCTGCCTGCAGAAACCTCGATTTTTCGCCGTTTTTTAGGTGTTTTTCGGCTATAAAATCTGAACCACGTGAGCTAGGATATTGAAATTTGGTGTGTGCCGAGCCAAGAACATACCTAATAAGCCTGCAAAATCTCAGCCAGATTGGCCGAGCCGTTCTGGAGGAGTAGTGCACACGCACACACAGACACACAGAAAACTTTTCAACCGCACTGGAGTAACGGGCTTCGCTGTCGCTCAGCCAATAAGCTAATTCAAAACAGCCACACATTACAAGGTAGGTTTACGCCAGACCGCGTCTTGTCGTAACAGGCTTCGCGATGTCTCGCTGCCTGTTCCTCCAATCCGCTCCTGGCGTACCTACCTTGGCCTGCGGCGCTAACCTGCCTTCGGCAGGCATTGGCTTGTCCATCGTCGGTTACTTACGTGTTGCATTCTGGGGGGCGGACCCCCCTTAATTCTAGAAAGAGTTGCCTCATCTACAGATAACACGATCTTGACCCTTGTAACTTTTTAACTTGTGGGGGCTGGGGGCTCCGCCCCCCAGACCCCCCTTTCTTCAAGACAGAGGTGATCTACCTGCAGAAAATTCGATTTTTCGCCGTTTTTTTGGTGTTTTTCGGCTACAAAAACTGAACCAGTTGAGCTAGGATAGTGAAATTTTCGCGTGTGCCGAGCCAAGAACATACCTAATAAGCCTGCAAAATCTCAGCCAGATCGGCCGAGCCGTTCAGGAGGAGTAGTGTATACACACACACACACACAGACAGTCAAAACTTTTCAACCGCACTGGAGTAACGGGCTTCGCTATCGCTCAGCCAACAAGCTAGGGCCCGCCCTTCCGTCGAACCGAGTTTCCAGCTCCGCTTCGCTGCGCCGGCAACTCGGTTCGACAAGGGGCCGGCCCAGCTTGGCCTGCCGGCGGCCTTTTCTCGGGCCTTCGGCCCTCGCATCAGACCCAACTTGGCCAGTCGAAGGCCCGGGCCTTCGGCCCGCTCGCATGACACACCCCGTGAGCGGGTAAAGCAAAGTTATCGATGTACCATCGTGACTTAGGCCCGCCCTTTTATTCACAATATGCAAAAGTCCTTACTCTTTTTACTCCAACTGTCCTTAGAATATGCCCATTTCATTTGTCTCTTAGCCCTCATTCCAAAAATACCCATATTTGCCATGCTCCTGCAACTCCTTGCAATAGAGGCCCAGCAGGAGCGCAAAACGAGTCCGTCGCACTTTTTCCCATAACTCATGAAGGCGGGCTTCTGCCCCCCCCCCCCCCCCCTCCCTTCCGACCCCTCGTTGAAGAGGTCTTGCCAAGACCTATCGAAAACTTAAGTTATAATTTTCAGTCGGTCGACCCCCTTTTTTTCAAGATCCTGATGTGACTAATAGACGAAGTCGGGCTCCTGGACCCCCTTTCCGACCCCTCGTTGAAAAGGTCTTGCTGAGACCATTTGAAATCTGCAACAAATTTTTTTAGTCGGTCGACCCCCCTTTTTGAAGATCCTGATCTGGCCAACTTGTAAAAGCGGCCGATGGGGTCGGGACCAGGTCCATTCATCTTGTCTCGTCGCCCCGATTCCAAAAATACCCCTATGTGCCCTGCTAGCACCAATAATGGCGGAAATCCCCCTCCCGCTCATGTAAACCATGATGCACTTGCAGCAGCCCTTGTGCGACCCGGACGGGATTTGCACCACCGGATTATTTGTTTGGACGGTACTCCTGAAGTACCCTCCAAATCTGGTCACTCTAGCTCAACTCCTTCCTTGTACACAGACGCCAACAACGACAACAACACACAGACACAAAGGCAAATGCATAGCCCCCCCCTATTTTTTGAATAGAAGGGCGGGCCAAAAACAGAAACAAAAGAAATTTCAAGATTGCAAACATTTTAGAGTAAGCTACAGGTCACTTGATGTGCGTGTGCAGCGCTCTGCAAAGTTGGGTGGCCACCGGTGTGGTGCGGCCTGTACTTCCCGTTTGCCCCGCAGCAAGCATGCCGCGGAGCCCGCCGTGGTGGGGCGCTCAGCCGACAACAAAAAGTGCACCAGGGTGGCGCATGCCCACAGAGCGGCGCCGTGCCTGTCTGTGGTGCCCGTGAAGTCCGGCCGCAACAACACTGCTGGCGTGGGCCTGCTCCCGAGGGCTCTTGCCAGAACGCCCCGGAGCCACACTAATTCACGAACTGCATCATCACTTATACTTTGTTCGCTAGTTCTGGGAGAGGGAGGTGGTAGCCAATTTTCTGCAACCTTCGAACGGGCTTCCTGCCTTGGAGTTAATGGCTGAAAACAAAAGGTGGAAATTTTTTTAAGGCAGCTTTATTTTTATGGGCACTAATAATAATGGAAAATATTTCGGTAAGTGACGGGACATTTTGGTTCAAGAATGAAAAGTGTACAGATCATAGCGCATACCTCACAAGACATCTGCTGCACAACAGGTGTTGCTGTGGGAGTCCGCACAGAAGTAGTCCTTGGTGTTGTGGGAGTCCGCACAGAAGAAGTCCTTGGCGTTGTGGGATTCTCCACAGAAGAAGTCCTTGGTGTTGTGGGAGTTGTTGGAATAGCAGGACCTAGAAAACAAGGAGAAACTTAGGAAAAGCATCACATATTGAAGGGTATAATTTCATGAGTTAATTAAATCAATAATAAACAAATATTAAGTAACCCCAATCTACATCCAATGTCTGTGGATTTCAGAATGAACAGGTTACATGGAAAGTAATAAAATGGATAATGCTACAACTTATCTAATGAATGGTAATCCGGGGGATTTGTTAGTCCTGGACGTTTCCAAACAAGCACAGTGGCGAAGCGGAAAAAGGGGATAAGTCGACTTATCCCGAAATGGGGTTTTCACGACCATCCGAAAGAGCGTGATCTTGCACATCGTTTGCAATAGTCTGTTTGATTCTAGTGATTATAGTTTGGGCTCACAAGCCAATTGAAAAAGGGGATAAGTGGAGTTATCTTGTAGAGCAATAACCCCACTTGGGAGGTATGTCGACTTAACAGCATGGATTGAGAGGCCCTGTAGTTAAGTCGACTTATCTCGTTTTTCCGCACTGACTGCATGGAGACAAGTCGACTTAACTCCTTTGGACGACATAAAAAGCGGCAAAGGGGGATAAGTCGAATGACACAACCTCAGGAATGTTAAAAAAGCACGTCCCTGTACCAAATTTGATACTTTTACTAAGCTTTTTAGATTCCTACGTCATGCAAATCATTATAGAACGGTTTATTTTGTCAAAATGTTGACGTTTTTGTAGATATAGCAAGATTCTGACTTATCTCGTTTGGACGCGGCTGTCCAAACGAGACAAGTCTACTTGTCTCATTGCACATTCACACCCTCCACGAGTTAAATCGACTTATCTCTCAGTACCTGAGAGCACTTGGCGCTATGTTTACTTATCCTCTGCATACTTAAGCGCTGTGCGGGTTAAGTCAATTTAACTCTTTCGAACTAAACTCCCTAGAGCAATGTCGACTTGTTATCTATCGTTGGCACAGACGGACGCTCCTGTCATGGAAGAGAGAGACGTCGTTCTCCGATTCTGGCTCTGAGTCCAAGGGACCGGCTTCGATTCCCGGCAGAAACTGGTTTTTTTTTTCGTTGTAAACATTCATCTGTGGCCTTGCAAACTTTATTCCGTGCGACAATGAGGCGTACCGAACGATTTGGTGACGATTGCTAATGGCAATTGCCGCAGTAAGCTGGTCGGTGGCTAAACCGTTTCCGCGGTTCGATTCGGGTTCGGTCGATGCAAGACTCATGCTCATACCAACTAATTCATTCCTAGGAAGAAGTAAGGAAAATAGTTTTCGATTCTTGAAAATGGCCGATCAGGTATCTTGTAGAACGAAAACGGAGGTTTAGAGTTTGAAAGTAGCGTAAAGAGGACACGTTCGTTTTTTTTAATTTTGATGGCGGTTCGGTGGTTTCAACCGACTCGGCTAGCTGTGTCTCTGCCCCTGCTCATAGAGCTCATATAGAAAATTGCATTTTGTTTGTCAGCGGATGTGGCCTCTGCAGTCCCTACCGAGCCCCGTGTTAGGGGCGTTCTACTTTACCAACACAGTAATAACAGGAAAAGTAGCGATATACATCGGCAACTTTGGCCCGTCCCGTTCATCAGGGAATGTGCGAATTTCGCCTATGTTTCACCCTGACGGGATTTGAACCTGAGTCTGGGGTCAAAATAAATGTTATTTTCGTCACCAGCGCCCTCAAAAACATCAGGAACAATGCAAAAATTTGAATAAAAAGAATGTCTAAAATATACCCCACTGGGATTTGAACCCGGGTCGAAAATTCTCCGATTCGCTTGAAACTGGCACCGTTGGTTTTGTTTCGTGGCCCCGATTCCAAAAATACCCCTACATGCCCTCCTAGCTGTATCCGTTGCTGAAATCCTCCTCGACCCCATGTAGACCATGATGCACCTGCAGCAGCGCCCCCGGGGCTCGGATCGGATTTGCTGCCACCGGGCGGTTCTTAGGGTCACCCAAGGAGGCTGCATACCAAATTTGGTCAAGATCGGACCACGGGAAGTCCTCGGACGAACGAACGGACGCACAGCATGCATCATACTATATGCCCGTCCCTCCGTCATTTTTTTCCAAAAAATAAACGGGACGGGCCAAAAACGGAACCTGATTTTCCCAGGAACTCTCTGGAAATCGCTTATGTCTTCACCATAGGCTTCCTGGGAAAACCAGGTTCCGTTGTTACCGTGCAGCAGCCAGGCGCGGACGGAACGCGACACCAAGTGCAGAATAAGCAGATGTCGAGGGCCGATTGCGGGCGCTGGCCAATTAAAGGGTCTGTCGGTGGTTTGGTCCGTTCAGTTCACGGTCACAATCTGCGGTCATCGCTGGATTCAAAATGGGTTGTACACGTCGGGTCATTTCTAGTGAATTCTGAACCCACGACACATTAAACACTTAAACTCTGCTGAATTTTACACAAATAGTGTCACAATTTCCCAATTCTGCGTTAAAGACAGCACTGTCAGAAATTTTCGGTAAAAAATGGAAAAATCATGTAGTTTTTTTCTAAACTTCAGCAAAGAGATCTCCGTAAAGGAAAACTCTGGGCTTTCCGAAGAGTTTCGGACTTTGGAACCAGAATGCCTGCTTCTCTGTCAGGAGATCACGAAAAAAAAGTTTGCAAGCAATTAAAACATGAGGGAAAGGTGAACCTCTATTTTGTTCAGCTCAGTTTTCATGATGGATACCTACAGGATCTCGAGGACCCAAAGGAGCTCGAAAGAAATTGTCCCTTCTTGCCATTTCAGACCAAAGAATGCTTCGGCGAAGCCCTCTTTCAAATATCTGAGAAAAGACGTGCATTTTAATTCGCATCAGGAACGAAGTAATGCTCCGAGGAACATTTGTTCAAGCCCTGAAAAAAACTCTCCGAAAAAAAGGTTGATAATAAATGGAGTCTCCACGTGATTATAGAGTTTTTCTCCATAAAATTTCGGAACTAATTTCTAACAGTGTAGAAATGTGCGGTCAAATCTTCACCGCTGTTGCAATACTTTTAGGACTCCGCAGGTTGCCACGGATTTTTGGCCGGGGGAAATAAGGGACCGGTCCCCAGTGGCCGCGTCCCCCTCGCCACTCCACCCGCCGCGCTTCGCCCGGCCGTCCTGTCGGCGCTCTCGGTGCATGTCCGCGTGACACTGGTCTGTCGGGCTGTCCTCCGATTCATTCTGCCCAGCTCAGCGTTTCGCACCGCGAGGCCTGCTTGCCGGCTGGCTTGGGCTGCTGTGCTGGCCGTGAGTAGCCGAGGCACGCGGCGCGTGCCGCAGAGTTGGCGCCGCTGACCGCACGCATCGCGGAGAGGAGGCCAAAGTGAGCCTTGCCGAGCGCGCTGGAAGGAGCGCGCCGCCTCGGGAGGCGATGTAGACCGATACGTAAATTTTGTTTTCTCGCAAACGCCTTGACCAAAAATTCTGAAACTTTGCACGTGCCTTCAGGGGCGGACTGGGCCGGGCGGGCGGGTTGAGTATTCCCGCCCGGGCCGCAGGCCCGGGAGGGCCGCGGGCCGCAAGCCATGGGCCGTCGTGGGCCGCCGCGGGCCGGCTGTTGCGACCGTGGGCCAAAGCAGGGCTGCAGGGTCGGGTCGGCCGTGGGCACGAGAAGGGCATGCCGCGAGCTGCCTGCGTGTCCTGAGAGTGATTCCGGTTCTGCACTGTGCACTATGAGAGGCCATCGGTCTCTCCGAGTGAGCTTTCGCTCCGCAGAGGAATTAGTCAACAGCTCGGGCCACGGCCGTTAGCTTCAGCCTCACTTGGTGTGAGGCGCGGCACAGTGTAAAAACAGGCAGAAAAAGTGCGCGTTGTTCGTAAACCACTGTTTTCTATATGAAACGATGCAGAATGAAGTATTTTAAGATTTGGGGTTAAGGGAGTAAAGGTAGGCAGCCACCTCAGACAAAACACGCTTTTATCGACTGTTAGAGTCTATTTCCAGCAATTATGAGTTTGGGCAGCCAAGCTCTTCTCGACACTTTAGTTTGGAGTTTTCTCTACAAAAGGAGGCCTCCCCGACCTGCAGAACGGAGGAAATGGAGACGTGTGCCTCCAAAGATCAAAAGACGGCTTTTTACTCGACTAGTTTCAGTAGGCCTATGTTTTCGGCAAACTTTGAATATTGTAAAATAAATTCTTTTCAAAACTTTCGTTTTGAGCCGTATTATCTGTCCGATCGGGAACTGAAGATATAGTGCCTCCATGGATCGAAAAACGGCAAAACAATTGCAATAAACCAAAAAAATCAACTTCAAAATTGAATTTAGTCGAAAGAAAAACATGCTGCACTCTACAAAAAATGTCCTGTCAACGCCGTTAATTTATTACCAATGTTTGCTGTTATGCAATTCACGGCGTTTGCTGTGAACTAGTTCACGGCGTTCACTGTGATCTCGGTTACAGTGTTCACTGTGATCTGGCCACAGTAAACGCCGTGAATTGGAGCCTGATTTGCAGTCCTGCGGTGCTCAGCGGCGTCAAACTCACAGTGTTTACTGGGTACCAGATCACAGTGAACACCGCGAACAAGATCACAGTGAATCCCGTGAGCAGTTCTCAGTAAACGCTGTGAATTGACCTACAGTGAAAACTGGTAATAAATTAACGGCATTTACAGGACATTTTTGGCAGAGTGTGTGCCGTTTTTTTTTGTTTTTTTTTGTCTTTTTATCTTTGGAGGCACATATCTTTCTTTTCCCCACCGTAAACAGGCCAGCCAAGAGAGGTCTCATTTTGTACAGAATACTCTAAACTGAGTCGAAAAGAGTTGGGCCGCCCAAACTCATATTTGAAGGAAATTAACTCGAACTAGTCCGAAAAAAAGCCCTGTTTTGTAACTTTGTTAAGGTTTGAGCTGCCCCCTTTACCTCCACTGTGGCAAAAGGCTACGGAAAATTCTGTAAACAGCTTGTGGTAATTCTCCGTAGCGCTCTTATCAATATTCTCCGTAGGCTCTTACAGTATTTTCCGTAGGACCGCACAGTATTCTCCGTAGGACCTTACAGTGATCTCCGTAGGACTATACAGTC